ACTACAGGCAGAAATCCGGAGGATAAAGGTAGAGCTACGGATGATCACGGTAGAGCCCCGGCAAAGCCCGGTTCATTTCAAAAGAATAACCACAATTTGCGATGATTGCACTTGTTTGTATTGAAACCCTTCCCATTTCCCTTCTATCCAGTCTGGCATAAGGATTTTTCAGAAAATCATCATGAATTACTATTCTGGAATAATATATATTATATTAAATAAAAATTATGTATCAATGTTATCATTTTCGGGCGTTTTTAATCCACCGGGGTTCTACCGGGGCTCTGCCTGGATCGTCCTTGGCTCTGCTCTGCTTGGATCGACAGGGGCTCTGCCTGGGTCAACCGCGGCTCTTCCGGCGTCATCCGGGAACGACCGGGGAAGCACCGGCATGAACCGTAGCTTACCGGGATGGTCCTGGGCTTTGCCGGTAGTAAGTGAGACCGCAGCTTTAACTTCTGTCTTAACATCGACACTATGTACAAATGGTTATTATTCCAATAAACTAATATCATCAATATATTAAGCGACATAGGTTAAATAATGTTAACATATGCAAATATCATTCTTACTAATGATTAATTTGAATCTCCTGATATTTGATAACGCTTTTTATTTTCAGTATGTTTAACGTCTTTTTTATTGAACTGTTTCCGACAAAAACAAAACTCGTGACTTACAATCTATTTTGTAAGTTGGCATGTAAACACAAATGCCTATAGACGTGTCGCATTTGCGGTCACTTCTGCTCTCATCGATAATTGATAATTATTTATCTAAAAAGAATTGTCAACGGCCCTCGATGGAAATTGAAATTTAGATACGTGCTGAAAATATATTATTGTTTTATTTCATTTCAGTTCAGTGAAAACCGGAAATAATCCCTATTATATCTGGCTGAATGAGCAATGTAGTCAAAAATCAACATTCAGTGTTTTAAATTATATTTTGCTGACAAAAAATTAATCAATTAACGCTAAATAAGAACGCACTGAGATGTTTCTTTGAAAATATTAATACACATGTAGTCATTAGAACAAACATTGTGTATTTTCATTTATATACGTACATTATAATCCACATTTAGTGATTTAAATGATAGGTTGCTGAGAAAAAAATTAGCGCTACATGTTATGTTTTTTTGAATTATAATAGTAATTAGACCAGGCATTGCGTTTTTATACTCGTATACGTACATTATAATCAAATTAACTACAATTAATTAATCTATGTAATATTTAACGTTCCTGTGCATGAATTATGAAATACAATCTCGCTCTTATGAAATAAAATCTCGCTTTAACAATGTTGTGTCCGTCATTCATTTAAATCATAATAGCACTTATAACTTATGAACCTAAAATGTCATAATACATTTTTTTTTAAATTTCATTTTATATCAAATTTCAAGTTTTCTATGTAATACAAGGAATACATGTACAATAAAACACATCAGTTATCTATCTCTTCTTTAGACACACAACAATATAGATAAAATGAGGATTTGAAAGGCCGCCAAAACACTCTAAAGTATCGGTTTGACTGATTTGATTTTCATATGCAGCAGTAGCTCATGCAAATAACCGTGCATGTCCTTGAGACTTTGTCTTACGTAAATAAGTACTTGGTATACAGAATGCTTCAAAGTGTTACAATAACGGCTTATATGTTTATATATTTCAATTCAAATTAAGTTTTGTTTATCTAAAAGAAATGTTCGGATATCTTTATTCATCAAGTTTTTTTCTTTTTTTTAAGACTTTTAACCTATATTATTTAAACTGCAGGTTTAAAGAGCACAGATGGGCGTCATAAACGCGGAGACAGGTAAGTTTTAAATATTATCTATTCAAACTTGATATTGTTGTTTTTATTTCTGTGTGTTGTTAAGTACTTAATTATGATAAACAAAACGTTTTACTGGAAATGTTAAGAGGCGGGCAGTATTTACACTAACAAACTAAAACTAGGACATTATATCCAATTTTACCAAAGCAACGAACAATCTGTGTGAAATAAGACACTGCATTATTTTTTTATCATTTTGTAAAAAAGGTACAGGCAAAATAAATATGAATATTCCTTAGATCTACTTGTTTTTGAATAAGTGAGATTATCTTTTTTGCAAGGTCCGTGCCGATTTCAAATCCGTGTCAGAATGGGCGGTACATGCACGGCTTGATGAATACAGATTAACACGTGCAGCTGTAAAAGTCAGTTCAGAGGAAGATATTGTGACAGTAAGTAGTTTGTATTATTGAGCCAAAAACTTTGTTTCATAAAATTGTATGTTTTAAAAACTTTATGCCAACATTAAAATAAAATCAACAGCAACAAAAAGAACAAAAACATAAAAATATTCCTTAACCAACCAACCAACCAACAAAAAAACAAAAACAAGAGTGATCATTGATCACATGTTTCGCCTCATGATGGCCAATTTCATGTTGGTACAAGTTTTGTGACCGACGGACAGACAGACGGACAGTGCACAACTAGACTTGGTACTGATCATTCCTGTAAAGTTTGGATAAAATTGCACCAGTAGTATATGAGGAGTAGTCCGGACAAGCTTTTGTGTATCTGGCAACACACAGAAAAAACCACCTTTTTATCAAAGGGCCATAACTTGGCCAAAAGTCATTCAACCAAAAAACCCGTGCAATATGCGCAAGGACTTGAGCTACAGATCAATCCTGTAAAGTTTCATTGAAATTGCATTAGTGGTATAAGAGAAGTAGTCCGGTCAAACTATAAAAAATAGAAATTATTAAAGGGCCATAACTCTGACAAAAATCATTGAACCAGTCAATGCTGACAATATGCACAACTAGACTTGGCACTGATCATTCCTGTAAAGTTTGGATGAAATTGCACCAGTAGTTTATGAGGAGTAGTCCGAACAAGCTTTTGTGACGGACGGACGGACAGACGGACGGACAGACGACGGAGAAGTGATCCCTATATGTCGCCATTACTCCGTAGAGGCGACACAAAAAACAATAATAAAAAAAACGTTAAAAGGTTCTCTTGTTTCAGTGTTGTTTAGTACTCACTAGTCATTAAGCAAAACTATCCTTTCCTTCTTTTATATGTTAGTTATAATGATTTATTATATTGTATGGAAGTCGAAGTATGAAACCGTTTACATTTTGCTACTTAATGACAAATAATGCAATAAAATCAAGCAATAACGTAAGAGCATAAATGTCAGCTAGCTGTCCTTGTTGGCCGATCCATCAAGCGATTCGCCAAATATTTCAAAGTTCTCTCGACGGCCATTTTTGCGATGCCACTAGCTTTTTTGTCAATTACGTAACGTGTATACGCGTGGACGTTCTGCCGTTACTTGACAACAGGTACGTGATACCCGGAAATAGCCTCAATATGGGATTTTGGCACACTTGGCAAGTGCGCCAATATGGCTTATTGGCACATTTGCTCAAATACGGGAATTACGCATCAAAAAAAAAGAAAGGCATTTTTATTACTAATTATAGTAGCATATGCAATAAGTGGTATTTTATCATGTTGAGTGAAAATATATACCATATTTCACGAAATCGAAAAAAATTAACCTTTTTATTTAATTTCATTATCAAAGAAGTAGAGGTTATTACATGGGGCAAGTGTGCCTTTAGTTCATTTTGGCACAATTGGTGACCTATTTGCCCGACTAAAGGCACACTTGCCCCATGTAATGATCTGTTTATTGCATATGTTCCGCAGCAAATTTTCAAACTGGAATAAAATCAAGCAATAACATAATTGATCTAATATTTTTTATTGTCAGCTGGCTGTCCATGTTGTTCGATTAGATTATCTAAATCCATCAAGCGATTCGCCAAAGATTTCAACGTCCTCTCGACGGCCATTTTTTGCGATGCGGCTGTCAATTACGTAACGTGTATACGCGCAGACGTTCTGTCGTTACTGGATAAAAGGTGCGTGATGACCGGAAATAGCCTCAATATGGGATTTTTGTACACAATTTTTTTTACTACTTATAGTAACATATGCAATTAAAAATGTTACGTTCCCCCTTGCTTGCTACGCCAATGCAATTGTACAGCACGCAGTAATATTTATGCGTCTTGTTTTGCACGCGATATTTGGCGCTACATTGTGACGTCACGTATCATATATTTTACAAATAGTCTGTCATATATTTTACCAATAGTCTATCATATATTTTACCAATAGTCTATCATATAATTTACCAATAGTTTATCATATAATTTACCCAAAGTCTATCATATATTTCACAAATAGTCTGTCATATGTTTTACAAATAGTCTGTCATATTTTTTACCTATTGTCTATCATACATTTTACAAATAGTCTGTCATATTTTTTACCAATAGTCTATCATATATTTTACAAATAGTCTGTCATATTTTTTACCAATAGTCTATCATATATTTTACAAATAGTCTGTCATATTTTTTACCAATAGTCTATCATATATTTTCGAGAGGTGGAGCAGCATCTGTCACACTCGCCTGTATTGAAATAAATAATCCCGAGGATCGGAACATCCTCGGCTTATTCATATTAAACAGTAGATCTATCACGTGGTTGCAGATGTAAACAGAAACAGAGATAATGTAAAACGAATGTAAATATTTGACATCCAAAGGAAGTCTGTTTCGGTGCAATTATGATTAAAAATATGTTTGCCAACCATTATTATTTAAACATAAACATTTCTACTACCCTGATAATAAATATATTAATAATGTATCGTTATTTTAGGTGGACATTTACTTGATATATTGGATAAAAACTTGTCAAAAACTCTAAGCATTCAATTACTATTTGTTTGCAGGTTTAGTTTCTTAGCATAAGTTAGACCGAAATGCCGTATCCGTTCTGTGTATCCATATGTGTTCGAAGACTGACGTAAAGGGCCGAAAAGTTGCGATTGCCAAATATAAAATTTAAATTCAGATCATACTATAACGTGTGGTAATGATGCATTTTGTATAATTTGTTTGCAGGTAAAGGAAAATGTGACGCAGGATGGCATATTTATGGTGACAAATGCTTCAAATTCAGTTCTAGCACAAAAACCTGGGAAGCAGCTAAAGTAAGTATCATATATATGTAACAATAAAATCATGTAACGCGACAAATACTATAATCTATGAATACTCATGTTGTTGTTTTCTTTTCATATATAAATAGAGGACATTAAATTATGTCCGTTTTATACGATTTTTATTGAATGATTATCACATAGTACGAACCTCTTGCGAGCATAACATCATTTTTTGTCAGAGTTCAATAGATTTGGCAATGATACTCAGCGAAGGTAATACCAGTGTACTATTTATCATATACCAAACACAAAAAACTATCAAAATGATTTTTTATTAACTCTCTAGGTTATACGTGACATTGTATCGTTCTTATATTTACACTGCCGTGCAATATCGCTTTTACGGAGTCGGAAAAAAATGGCACCGGTATCTAATAAATAATACATATTTACAACTATAACTACTATAAGCGTCAAATACTGGCATCTATGAAATATTACTCATGTTTATTATATGAATAGAGGGCATTGAGTGCATAAATTTTAGACGTATTTAAATCTAATGAAATAACATTATGACAACCTTTAGCGAGCATCATATTATTTTTGTCCGAGGTCAATAGATTTACATTTGTAGCAATGAAGCTGTATGAGCTTCATACTGGTTTATTGTTTATCATATACCCAAAATAAGAGCTACCAAAATGAGGTCCAAATGCTTAAAACATAAAAAAAATGATCTTTTACAAAACACAGCTGGAGCACTTAAAACAGTAAGGTATGCAAAAGATATTAAGAAATTTACAAAGAAATACTTTGAAAATCGTATTTTTTGTGCCATTCTTAACCGATTTATGTTGAAAGTGTTGCAAAGCTTTTGAATATTAGGTCATTTTTCGCAACTAAAGAAGTTATAAGGAACCATAAAGTGATATTTTGCACACATATTTCTTGGTCTACACCTACATCAAACGGAACATAAAATCTCGAAAAGTTATTTTTTGTCACGTCATGTCAACAGTTCAGTGAAGTTCCTTTAACGTTCTAACTTATGCTTGAAAAAGTATCACACTCCATATACATCGTGCACTATCGTTTTTACAGAGTCGGAAAAAATGGTACTGGTATGTGATACAAAATCTTATACAAAATCAAAATTTCATGCTGGAACCTTATTCAATATAGATTATAAGCATACCGTTTTTCATTGTTATGGCAACACTTCTGTATTATTATAAAGCTTTGTTACAAGTTGCTAGTGGTATGAACCCGCCGTATGCAAAGGCATTTCATATTAATTATATCCAAGAGCTTTGATAAATTACTCATTTCGCTGTTGCTACAAGAGATATTCGTTACTATTAGACATTTTGATACGACAACACTCATTTCCTTTGCTATCGTTCAATCATGATTACTGCTCCGTATCAACACAAAATACAAGTTATCTTATATATACATATATATATATATGCATTTTTGACATGTCTTTTAATTTTAAATATGACATACTTAGGATATCAAACATATTATTATCATTATCATTTATTACACAGATTTCATGCGTGAAAGATTACAGTGGATATCTGGCAGAAATCTACAGCGAAGATGAAAATAATTTTCTTGAATATACTGGGAAAAAGAGTAAGTTTATTGTTAAGGAGTCTGTTCTGCATAAACAAACAAGACTTCGGACATTTTGCTTCACTTAGCTGCTAAAATGATTGACAGGGTAAACAAAGTCAATAAGTATTTCATGCCTGAGGTGAATTAATCTGCTCTTTGAAATTTATTTCAATTTCGATAGTAAACAAGAATTGCAAGTTTGAAGGTAATGCCTTTCATACTTGTAAAAAGTAACCTTTAACAAGTTGTTTAACGAATGCATAAAAAGTAAGCCCAAAATGGAACATAGCAAAATGTTATTTTTTAAATATCTACACTTTTGGTACGGCTTTATATTTTGATAATAAACGAGAAGGGATTAGGTCTTCATTCTTCCGAGGGCATGGATCATATCCAAAAAAAATGTTTACCACCATCAAAGCCGACCCAAGGAAAGGGTCATCCCGATTGTAGCTTTGCTTATAAGCAGGACGACAAAGTTGTGTATATAGGATTCAGGTGATAATATAAATTAATTATTTAACATTTATAGTCTAGATGAAATAGAATAAAACTTATCAATATAAATATCATCTCATAAGTTTATGTTTGCATTTCTTTTCTTTTTAAGTATCATCATTAACATCGGGTGTTTGGTTTGGACTGAAGTGGCACAATTACTATGCCACATACATCTGGGTAACAACCGGCACTGTACATACCTATAGAAACTGGCTAGAGGGTTCTGGTAAAGAATTTTCAAATGTTTTCTGCTACAAGTTTGACCAAAGTAACGGGTTTTGGGATGAACTTGACTGCTCTACGAGTTCTAACTACATTTGTGAAAAGGGTATGTTAACAACTCGTCACTGGCTTTGCATTGCAATAAATACTCCAAGTATGCACGTACACGCGCGCGCGCGCGCGCGCGCACACACACACACACACACACAAACTTTTCCCATGTTTCAATTGTCATGAAGCAAAATTCATTGTAAAATCACAAAAAGCCGAATAAAAACTACAATTGAAAATGTTATATATCAACTGGCGTACTTAGAACGGAAAATAATGAAAAGTAAATATACACAGAATTTAAAAAAAGAAAATTGATATTATGTGCGATTCTCAGCCCGATTTCAATTGAAAGCGGTTTCAATGCTTTTCAGTTTAGGCCGCTTTGCATGATAGAAATGTTTATTCTGAGAAAAAAAACGAAGGGAGAGAATGATTTATAAATTGACACATAACTTATTGATATAGATCCAAATGGTACAAAAATCTTAAACAAGTTTGGAAAATAAAAGAAAGGAGATCAACTATTTCTTTTTCTTTCATATTTTAGAAGCGTCTGTAGACCCATGTTTCCCCAATCCTTGCCAAAATGAAGGTACGTGCATTGTAAATGGAGCTGATTATACATGTAATTGCCAATCTGGTTCCAAAGGGAAAAAGTGTGAGAGTAAGTTAAAATGTTTTTTTTACTATTTGATTTAATGGACGATACGTTAAAGTTATCATTTAAATATCCTATTCCACCGGAGAATTTATATTGTATATATTATTTATGTTTTACAACGTCACACTTGCTCTAAGTATATCGTCATCACATCCGCAGCAACACAGTAAGTTAAATGATTGCGTAAAATTAGAGGGGTCTGACTTGCAGTTTATTTAATCAACTTAACAGGTTTATATAACCAAACAATACCCTATGTTTATCAAACGGGTACAATATACTTTCTTAGTGTAAAAATTACTATTATATTACTATTATAACAATACAACACTAATTCAAAAATGCAAATGTACATATAAATTGTTACGTACATGACGTTTATGCTAATGTTTATATCATTAATTGTCTGTTTATAGACGGTTTGTAACCATAAGAGATACATTTAAGTTAATATTGCCGCAAAGTTCCAAAAAATATCTCCTTATATTATGGAATGCCGGTAGGGACATGCCAATTTGCTTATTTGCCAATTGCTGAATTGCTTATTTGCTAATTGTCGATTTGCTTATTTGCCAATGGCTGATAGGCTTAACGACAAATTTGCTTATTTGCCAATTGCTGAATTGCTAATTTGCTTATTTGTTAACCGCTGGTTTACGTATTTGCTTATTTGCCTATTGCTAATTTGCTCTTTTGCAGTAGAAAAAGTTAACACTGTGCCGGAAGTATATGGACAATCTGACTACAGACAACCAGTTGAGTCAGATCTGTTAACTTTTACCAACAGTATTCTTGTAAATTCAGTGTTTTCCAAGAATACTGTTGGTCAACGAATTTAGTTGCAGTGATGCCTACGCAGATATATGTCTACAACTGATGGCTGACATGTCCTTGAGAACACAGACGCTTAGGGTCAGATTCCGTACCCCAACGTGCCCCTGTAAACACTCTATTTAAAATATTTTAATATTCAAACACGAATTGGACATCGTTAAAACTGGTTTTCAAGCAATTTTTACATATACGGGTATGAAAAAATACCATATACCACCAAGTCTCAATAAAGTACTTAATGGTTTTATCGTTGTAACAAATGTCCAGTTCGTATTTAAATAAATATTAAAATAGTTTTGATATAGTGTTTACAGACGCGTATCACGTAAGGGGCAGGATTTGACCCGCCAGCATCTGTGCTTGAGAATGCCTTATAATGTGTTGCAGCTATAGATATGTTTGTGCAGCTTAAGTCAGAGATTGATGGCATAATGAACACTTGATTAGTCATATTTAAGTGAAAAATATTGAGTAAAGATTGAAAATAAATGAACTTGAAAACAAAACTATTTCTTATTTTATGGCATATAAAATGTCGTTATTCTCAGCAGATTTGTCACAGAGGGCCTCATTTTAGTGGTACGAACACATAGTATCACGAATGATACATTTGGTGCATGCTTAACACGGGTGTTTGTCTTTGCACTTAAGCAATAGCCTTCGTTTTTAGCTCTGTAATATTTTGAGATCACTTATGTCTGTGTGTGCATCAACATTTTGCTTTGATTCAATGTTTTTGATATTGATCACACTTTTCCATTTCTTCATGTTGTACATTTTACATGCTATCAGGTGACCATGACCATGATCATGACCCAGGGTATAATGGACAAAGCCTCTTTGCATACTTTGTATGCTTGTTGCCTAATGCATATGTGAAGTTACAATTAGATATAAGCAGTAGATATGACAGAAAAACAAAGGCTTCCTTAAAAGTTACCAAAGTACAATTCATTGGTGACCTTGACCTTCAGTGTAACGGGCACAGCCTATTCATGTTCTTTGTATGCATGCTACACAATGTTTATGCAAAGTTGCAGTAAGATGCATGAATCAGCAAAAGTAACAGAGATATGACAGAAAAACAAGTAACCAAGAAAACCAATGTATTAGTGGGTAGAATAGCATGAATAGTGGAGCTAAAACTGAAACTCAAGATAATTAAAAAAACAACTACTTTCTGAAACTGAATTTATTTTTTTCGAAATTTATTAAAATGTTTTTTCCATCTGTCTTTCTACCTATATTCTAGGTAATGATGGACTGATCATAATTGTCACAAAGTATAATTTATTAACAAAACTTTATAAACATAATAACATGATATAGGTTCATGAGCTTGAAATAAAGTCTACAAAGACTTGTTATTTTATATCAAACAAGAACTTCGCGAGTCGGACGTGTCGCCTGACAATAGCATAAAAATTTATGTATATAAGAAAATAAGCAATTAGCAAATAAGCAAATTGGTAAATCAGCAAATAAGCAAATTGGCAAATCAGCAATTAGCAAATAAGCAATTAAGTAGTTGGCAAATAAGCAAAGTGGCATGTCCCTACCGGCATTCCATATTATATGACCAAATATTTATACGAGTAAGTTGCACATCTTTTCAAAACTAGATTTCATTTTAAAGGTCGTACAGTGTACGAAAAACAATTTATTTTTCGCAGTAATGTTTTCGTTCTTTTTTGACTTTAGCATCAGGCTATTGTCAGGCAGGTTGGTCTCACTATGGAAGAAAATGCTACAAATTCAGTTCAAATACTAAAACTTGGGAAGCGGCTAAGGTATGACTATACGTTACATGCTGTATTCTTTTAAATTCATATTTGGTTATCTGTATGTAATTTACAGACGTCTTGTCCCATTTCAGGATTCTATGTAATCATTTGCCTTTTGTTATTGACATTCACAGCGTTAAGCATGACTTATCGCTTTATCTTTATTTAAACGGTGCCTTATTAAAAATATTTTAACAAAACATATAATTTGTATCACATATTTGACCACATTCCATGCATATGCACCTATTTATTGATGGTTTGCAGCTTGCATGTGTAGCAGACGAAGGTGCTTATCTAGTAGAAATAATGAGTGCCGCGGAGAATTCATTTTTGCAGACGACCGGTAGCGCAAGTAAGTGTCCGTCTAAAATTTATTTAAACCTAAAATATTTTATACCGTTTGTAACGGTATTTTTTTCATTGCTTAAAGCGAAATCAAGCTTCTGTATCTATTTGTAATAGTTTTAATTTGAATAACCTTGGTGGAGGAAGAAAATCTATAAATGTATTATCTTAACGGTAATTAAAAATGTTTCATTGTGAATCTAAACATTTGATTTCACGACCTTATCATCTCTTAGCTCAATCACAAAAATGTCAGTGTCGGGATTGCACCCAGTCAAATAGACACAGGAGGGAGTCAAGGACTACATTAAGCGATTATGGAAATACATATACCCCAAGATAATATTAATATTAATTTCTTGTATCAGCAAGCGGTCAATTTTGAAGTAACAGTTTTAATGTCACAAAGATAATCACATTTGTACAGGAAAATATTTTTTAATATATAGTTTTTACAATCTTACATTATATATAATCTAACAGCACATGTGTATGATAAACATCATAACATATATCATTTACAATATAACATTATATATAACAGCAGTACGTTCACTTTCTTTAAGTTTCAACATTAACGACGAGTGTTTGGTTAGGACTACAGTGGCACTATACCAAGGACGATTTCTATTGGGTAACATCTGGCACTCTATACCCCTACAGAAATTGGGGTAACGGACCCAGATCACCAGATTTTCATTGCTACAAGTTAGGCTTAAGTCACGGGTATTGGGATCCCTATGACTGCTCTACGAGTTCTGACTACATTTGCGAGAAAGGTATGTACACACAATATAATTGCAGATAAATATATTAATTATCATGGAAACTGATGAATGGAAAATACACTTAAAATACAAAATAATCAAGATTGAACTAATGCTAACAGTGACAGGTCACAAGTTCTTTTCGAGGTTATCACATAAAAGTGATTGTCAATGACAATGTAAACCTCAGATACAACTGTTCTATAGTTCATCATTGAAATTACGTCATATACTTGTTACAAAGACATGATTTTCGGTCGATACGGAATTATTACCATCTCGATCATTCATTTGAATTGTTGAAAGAATGATCTTTTTTTCATGTTGCAAATATCACAAAGTAGATCATAGACTGCAATGAAAATTCAGACGACACCATTGTATTGTTGGAAATGAATGAAAAACTGAAAGCATGAATGAGTGTAAATATATCACGAAATGCCACAACTTCAAATCTTGTCACGAAAATTGAAAAGAAAAATGTGCCAGATATTTTTTTTTAATTTCTGTAAAACATAATATATTGGTGTATTTTTTTTTCTTTTATAAGCCGCCACGGATGATCCCTGCACAGAACGCCCTTGCAAGAACGGAGGCACGTGCACAAGTCAATCCGGCAGTTATACATGTACCTAATTGTGAGCGTAAGTATTATTATAAAAATAAAGCATTTTATTATCTGATTGACGGGCACTAAAGAAATCACAAATACAAATAAGAAGTCACAGATAACACACCGTGTTTCGAATGGTCTTGGGATGTAAGTTATATGGAAATGGAATGACCACTTCTGTACTAGTCTAAAATCTTATTTCTGTGAACATTCTCCTACAAGTAAGTTTTCTTTTAAATACACCCCCCCCCCCCAATTGTAAATGTTATATAGCTGATGCAATTTGAATTAATCTCAAATGCTAAGGCAATGATAAGTTATGAAGCGGTTGTATGTTTAATGATGCATTAATTGGCACAAAAAGGAAAAGCTAACACACTCTACCGATGTAAAATAGAGAAAAAATTAGAATCCATATAGAACGCATACAACGAAAAATTGAAAATGTTGCAGGCTCGTTTTGATTGTGCCTGTTCATGAATAACAGTAATGAAAATTGCAAGTTTCCGTCCACACCCTGAAGCACCGGCTTAAGAAGAATTCAACATTTAACATGGTAAATATTGGATTTTTTAAAAAATCTGCAGATGTGTCCATGCGACAATTATCATGGAATTTTCAATGTGACACCTCAGTACCATTCCGCGAAAAGGAGGCTTATGACCCTCAAGTAAATCCTGCCCTAAAAGCATATTAACTCTGCCAATGAACGGCACGGCGTTTTTGACCTTTAAACATTGTTTTATATTATTTTCAGTTGCGCCCTAATAAGATCACATGGATGAGGAGAAGGACAATAATGACAGTGATACACACAACTAACGCCGGAATAAATATGATTTACGATAGATATGTCGACATTGCAAAGTTTTAATAATATTAATCAAGCTTATACATGTTTATTGTCCTTTATTTACCATATAACTGAGTGTGTACAGAGTTACAGAAGATGATATATGCTTTGCATGCTCTAGTTTATGTTGAGTTTTAGTTGAATTTAATTGCTCCATCGCAAACAAATGAAGAAATATGAGATAAAATATAGATTGTTGTATTGGAAACGAATGAAATTGAAAAGGATTAAAAAAAATGAGCGAAACACTAAATGACCAAAACCTCGACAATATTATGAACGTGACGCAAAATTTCTCTTGGTTTGATGAAAGACTTTTCAAACTAAAAGTCATAAAGAACGACAGTGAGCAAAGCTCATTTCAAGATATGTTGATTGAAAGTTAGCCGTCTTAGCTTAGTTGTTACTGGTTGACTTACTTTTTCTGTTCAATGAATATACAACAAATGTTACATGATTCTATTTATCTAAAGGCTTAAAAAAGAAGAAGCTGTTTTTACAGCAATTCAATACAAAATTGAGATGTGTGAAGGTAGGGGGGCAAGCGGCATGAAGTTGGGGGCCTAGCGGCATGAGGTTGGGGACCTAGCGGCGTGAAGTTGGCGACCCAGTGGCCTCTAGTTGGTGGCCCGGCTGCCCAAAAAGACTTATTAAGTATACGTATGTCAGTGTTTATTAGTAAGCATTTACAAAATTAAAGTCAATAACGGTTTAGCCGTTCGAACAATTTATTGTAGTAACTGCTTACTAATAAACACTAACCAGTTAAACAAATTATTTTTGATAAAACTGTCAATTTACAAGGATCCTTAAATTTAGACGAGGAGAATAAAATGAGTCAAACTTATTGTTGGGGCCTTACAAATGTCTTTAAAACTACAATAAGAGTCAGTCTTAAGTTTTTCTAAAAGTTTAACTGCATGTATATCATATTTGTTCTAAATGTTTAACTGCATGTACATGTATATAACAAGTTTAGGTCGCTAACTTCACAAAATCGATAAAATCAAAAACTTTTCTGAAATTGAATTTTACAGTTAATGTATATTTGAAATGACAAGATATATTTTAAAGACTTTATTAAGAGCCGTATAAATTGTGTTTACAAAATTTCTACAACTTTAAAAGTTAAGGTAACAACAGATGTAACATATGTAGATTGACCCCTGACCAGCACTTACCTCGTCACAACAAACAACAAGTAGAGATTTTGTTGCTAAAGCACCAAGTCGTCGGATAGAAAAATGATTGTTATATCATAAGTATAAGAATATATCAGTTTAATGGTTCAAGTATAAAGAAAAGAGGAACAATATGTTGAGTAATTTTTGCCCCCCAAAGGGTTTGAAGGGCCCAATTTTTTATGCTGGAAATTTTCAACTTGTTTGCCAGCACTTTTAAAGGGGTTAAAAACTGAGTCCCCTTTTCAAGCCGGTTTGCTAGGGGGGGGTGAGAGATTTTCCCACCAAATTCTTTATCCTCAGTACAGACTAAAATAAAACCAAGCCCTGCAGTTCTCATTTTAATTTTGTTGGATAATTGTTTCCCCCGAGGATCACTTAATCATTTACTTATAAAACAATATACAATATATGCTCAACTTAAAAATATACACGTAGCTCCAAAAATATATAAACAATGACATATAAACATAATATAACATACCAATCGTGGACCAAACTCTGCAAATTATACATAGATCTGTCACTCACACTGTGATATTAGCTCTGTACTGCAATTGCTGTAAATTACAAACATCAGTGCATAACAAATAGAAACAGTGACTTCTAGAAAGTATTGTAAGATAAGAATATATGTTGCCATCTTAAATTCTAACTCATGATCAATACAAATTTATCTAAATTACTTTTAATAAATCCTTAACTGTTTTAATTGAAAATACATTGAAACTTATAAAAACAAATGAATAAGACATATTAAATACCAATTCCTCAACCCAAACCCTAAAAGTTTTATATTTTTAAAATCTTTTACATAGGGGTTCTACTTCTTACAACATTAAAATTGTAAAAAATTTTGGAGGGAAAAGCGTCATGGGTGAAGAGAAAACTAGCGGGTAAAAGGGGAACATTAATAAATTTTTGGACAAAAAATAAAAAAATTTTCATAAAGAGTAGTTTTTCTTGGAAAAATAGCAAAAACCCTTAAAAAAAAATGGGCACTTCTATTTTTAAAACGGCCCTGTTTTACGCTTTAAAAGGATCTGGGGCCCCTTTTTGGGGGTATGGGGGGAATTTTTTAAAAAAACCCACAAGGTTTTGCCCTACACTGAAAAACGGGTTGTGTTTTTGAGGTGGGTGGGGTTTAATCCCAACTTTCCCAAAATTTAAATTACAATTTAAAAATGAAAAAATATCTACGCCCAATTCATTCACTCACTCACTCACTCACGCACACATCCGCGCGCAATCGCTCGCTCGCACACTCACTCACTCACTGTTTCAATAAATGAATGAATAAATAAATAAATAAATAAATAAATAAATAAATAAATAAATAAATAAATAAATAAATAAATAAATAAATACTAGATTCTATTAAATTCTTTCAACACAATAATTTATCATTTTTGTCTTTTTACATGAATACAAAACAAAATTTTGCATCGTTCAAAAAGAATTGCAAAATGTTAAAAGAAAGGTCGCACATAATTATGTACAGTTAACAGTATTTTTAGTTCATTATATGCTTATCAACGAAATATCAAGAAATATTGATGAAACAAATTTCATATTTTTATTCTTCGTATTCTACCAGGAAGTTTAGGGCCCCTAATGATAAAATGTCCTGTGCAAGTGGTTAAAAAATGAGTTGCATAGTATTTATAACAAAATTTAGATGTTGTTATTGACGTTCTATATAGAATCTATAACAAGAAATGTACAATCTACTGCAGTATTGTCAAAATTGTACTGTACACATAAATTACACACATTTTTGCATGTTTCATTTTAGGTAAGATTTTTACTACATGGAAACTGAGACCTAAAATATTAATAGAAACTTTAATCTGGACATAAATATGTTTACAATATTAGAATTATTTACTATTCGTCTCCCCTTTAATAGTGGTTTAATCTATTCTTTCTGTATCACGTAACCGACCACCAATGATGTTGTTAACGTTAATTTTTCTTAAGACGATAACGATATATATTCTGGTGTGGCAGACGAAATTGTTTTCCACTTAACCCAATATGGTGGACAAATAAGGATTCGTAAGTTTTTGTGATGAGAAATTTACGAAAATTTGATTTAGGCTCCAACTAGTCAATGGTTTATTTCAAAATTGCATATGCAAGGTTTATGCAGAGATATCTATTTGGAGCTTGGTCAAAAAGAAAGAAAATGGGCTGGAAAAAGACGATATCTGTTCTAATATTCATCTGTTCACTGGGAGCATTTCTCTTTGTTTATCTGACCAAGAGGGGAATTTCCCTTTAAAGGTAGGGGATCTCATTAATTTAAATTCCGCAACTGACTTTCCCTCTGTCACAGTCAGGAGAGAAATATAAAAAAAGGGAATGTTCCTTTTAAAAAACCCGACTTTAGAAAGTCTGAATATATTCCATTCAAATACAATGTAAAACTGAAAAGGAAAGGATGTGAATTTTTCCTACAGTACAAAAAAATGGGGGTTCCCAAGGGGTTTCGGGGGGTTCTCTTTTAAAAAATAGGGATCTAAAATCCCCCATGAAAATGTTTATAAAAAAAAAAAAACGTTTGTAAATTTTTTAAACGAAGAAAAAAACGAAACGGGTTTTTTAAATTCGTTATTCCACGGGGGGGTTTGGGGCCTGCATGCTGATTGGACAGAGCTAACATCTTGTGTAGAAAAAGCAATGAATAAGAAAGAAAAGCTTGTGAGGACGAGAAGGTATGAGTCTTATCATTATAAAAGATCAGATTTATACACTGACGTACACCACCTATATTAAAAAAAAATTGAAATTGTCCTAGAATTTCTAATACCTGTAGGATGATTCTGGGCTCTAATGGAAGGGCTAAGCCCTTAATTAACTTTGCTGCACTTTTTAATTACTGTATGTACAGATGTTTACGAATCACACAACTCCTGTCAATAAGTATAATCCTCGCCTCAGGGCGTAACTTAAAGTCTTAAGCTGAATTGGTGACAACACATTTTCTGCCGATAATTGACTTCAGTTATCACGCATCTAAATTTTATGTGACATAATATGCAGATCTATCAACATATTGGCCTCTCATTCGCCAATTTAATCATAGCAATTAATTGAGCATAATTTATTTATATGACACCTGCCAGTTTACACCCTGAATCGGTCTTATTGCCATATTTTACAGTAACTAGTCTAAGCGCAACATCACATTGATTACATGTATAAACTTCAGGTTGGGCATATTACAAGTAAATGGCAAAATAGTAACAAAATATACAATATATTAAACATAAACTAAAAACATATCATTTCGGAACTTTGTTGCTGCTTTCATACATACCTTTTTTTCTATGTAGGTATTACTACATCCACTATTTTAAGAGATCCTGTAAAAAAGGTATCTAAAGTGAATTTGGAAGCATGTTCAGAGAGGAGCTACCTGGAAGACTGCTCGTCTTTTTTGTAACGGACGCAGTGCCACTACAGATGAAGTTGCTCCGTGTTTCAATGGTAGTGATTGGTCAGGTGTAACACTAGATGAATTCCTTAATTGTAAAGATAATCTCGCCGTAAATAGGCAGACTCGCATGTTGGCAAATTTAACTAAAGTAAATTGTTACAATACAAGTGCAATGGATAGTGAACTGCGGGACCAAATTATGTTAGAAAGTGCTAAGGAAAACTTGTTAAATATGGCATATTTTGGCCTAACTGAATTCCAGCGGTACACACAACGGCTGTTTGAAGAGACGTTTAAATTGAGGTTCAACATAGAATTCTCACAGCTACCTGTCACCCGTAGTGATAGGACGAAAATAACTGAAGAGCAGAAAGCCAAAATTTTAGAGCAGAATAGATTAGATATAATTTTATATCAATATGCCAAAGATCTTTT